TCACATCGGGTAACTCTAGCTCCAAACGGGGCTGGCACCTCTGTCCTCTATGGACTCAGGTGCACACAGCCCGCACAAACACACATGCATTCACATCGGGTAACTCTAGCTCCAAACGGGGCTGGCACCTCTGTCCTCTATAGACTCTGGCACTCAGGTGCACACAGCCCGCACAAACACACATGCTTATACATAATTAGAAGTATATAAAAACATCTCAGGGCTGGTGAGATGGCTCAGCGTTTAAACGCACATGCTTTTCTTCTAGGGGATCTGAGTTTGGCTCTGGGCACCTAGGTAGGTTGGCTCACACCTGCCTGTCATACCAGCTCCAGGGGCATCCAATTTCTCTGGCATCCACACACATGAGCACATACCCAGACGCATACACATAATTAAGAATAAAATATGTCTTTAAAAAATAAAATAATCTTTAAAAAACAGCCTTAACTTGTCTTCAAGTAGGAGGATTGGGCAGCACCCTTTATCACACCACTGTAGTTCATCCTGAACTTGCCCAGTGACCATCTGCATAAGCTAGTTGCTTTTATCCAGGGGAAAGTAAACTTCACATCCTAAGGACCAGAGAATGGTTTGCAGCCTGGGGGAGGCAGTCGTAGAAGTTAAGTTCCCACCTAGGTTAGGCTCCCACAGCCACAAGGTAGGGCCTGTCCTTCCTAGGATTTTAAAGAGATGCTCAAAGGCACCTGAGAAAAACATTTCCAACTAATCAACCAGGTAGACACTTTTAAGAAGATTTACATCTCAAAGGGGCGAGTAAGAACAGTTATAAGTGTTCTTTATAAACAGAAAAGAAAAGGAAACCCGCAGAGAGGGTAGTTCTGCCCCCCATCGGAAAATTAGTCTTTTCTTAGTTTTCACTTTTATCTGCCCTTAGGCTTTTTAATTTTTCAAGGACTTTCAACCCAATAGACAGAGGTAATTTGTGTGAGTTTGTTGGGGGCAGAACAAGAGCGTGTGAGAGGATCCAACAGGCTCTGATCCCATCAGGCTCCGGCAGCCAGAATCTCAGGAACCCCAGTGCTACAGTTCATATCAAAATCCGTGTTTCTTTTCTCTTTTTCTTTTCTTTTTCCCTCCATCGCTTCCTCCCTCTCTCCTTCCCTCCTTTCCGCTCTTTTTTTAACCTCAGTCAGTACTGTAGATTGAACCCTGAGAAAGAGCTCTACCACTGAACTCTATCCGGCCCCTAAAATCTTATTATAAGCAGCTGAAGACGGCACCATTATCAACTCTTCTGGTCAATGTAGGAAGTGAAAAGTCACTTCATTCAAGAGACCTTTCAATTTCTCTTCTTCAGCTCTTTGGTTTGATCCATCTGCAAACCAAATGCTGAAGTTTGGTTCTTTTCCTCTGTCCCCACAACACTGCAAGGCACTTGGAGAGGCAGAGTGGGGAATGTATGGGTTTCTTTGTTTATTTATTTACTTATACAAACAGTCTAACTAGCCCAGGCTAGCTTGGAACTTCTGCCAGGCTCCTGATTACTAAGATTGCAGACATGTGCCATTAAGCCCAGCTTGGGACAATCTTTTCAAAGAAACGAAAGAATCTCTGCTATCTTCTAAACTAGCTGTAAACCTTCATGGAGGAACGAACTAAACCCAAAGAGGTCATATGATGTCACCTCACATAGCAGTCAATGATTCTTTTGTCACTGTTACCATTAATGAACAAATGCTCACACTCTGTGCTTTGGTTTGAACACAGGAAGGAAACCCCTGCCCAGCTTATTTTATTAGGCTCTTATGAAAACCAAAGAGCAGAAAGAAGGGCTTGGAAAATGTTGAAATGCGGCCACTTCTATCTCACGGTATTCTTCTGTGTGTGTGTGTGTGTGTGTGTGTGTGTGTGTGTGTGTGTTAGAAGCTATCAACATTAATCACATGAAATACGAACATGGGGAAATATGAGTATGGGGAAACATGAGATGTTTTTCTTCCTGAGAACTATGGTTAAAAACATTTGAAAGACACAATTTCAGAAAACTAAGCAGGGTTTTGTGAAGAGAAGAGGTCAGAATGGGCCAGCCTCAAGGAGGAAGCACTGAAATGTGGAGTAGGGTTTAGATACATGACTAGGGTTGAGTGAGAGTGGAGACTGGACCCTTGGAAGGGGTTGTTGAAATGGGAGCAGAGAGTGTGCAGGTATCAGGGAAGAAGAGCTTGTAGAACTTGCTACGGTGACACCCCAGTCCCTGTCTCTAGCTGTCTGAGTGCTTGGTGTTTAGCTGATTCTACAGAAGTTAAGTTTAGGAGAGTACCTACACCTGTTTAGTTAGCTTAAAAGGCTGAGGAGGTGGGAGTGGTGAGGACTGAATCCATGACTTGACCTTTCCTCTAGTTTACTCGGTGAGTTAGATGAAGCCTGTTCCAGGTGAGGTAGTTTCTGAGGGTTACCAGGCTTGAGCATTGGCAGTCTGCTCCTGCCAATCTAGAGTATGAAGCTTCCTAGCAGCTTAAAGAGAGTCTTCCATCCTCTGGCATCACCTGCAGCTGAGTCCCTCAGGTTGGTTCTTGGAACCCATAGGCTTATCTCCATCTCTGGTCTCTCCGAGGTATGCCCTCACCAAGATTTCTTTCTGTGTCATCACTTGGAAACTTCTTGGCACAAGAGCTGTAAATTGATCATGGGTCCATTAAGGGATCTTCATACTTGGTCCTGAGAGAGGTGGGACTCCCCTTCCCCAGAAAACGATGAAGTCCTGAGTTTCCTGTGTGCTGAGGGCAGCCTCAGTGGTTACATGCTGTGTTGTGACAGAGGTTATCACATGGGCCTTGGTGTGAAGGCTGGGAAGATCTGCTTTGATGGACAAGTCTGATATCCCAGCCTCTGGGTCTTGTCTGAAGCCAAGATGAACATTTGACATCATGGGGCCTCAGAGACCCTAAAAGTAATAGGACTGGACCAGATTACTTGGGGACCATGTCATCTTTTAACATATCCTGTGACAATATCTTTACTTTCTCCCCTGCTGACCCCATCAGGCTTTTCACGCAGGAGATCCTATCAGACTGCCCACGGATCTGTCAAGATTGGACCCAGTTCTATGAAGCTCTGGCCTGAGGATCCTTTTGTATCCTGGGAGCTCGAAGCAGGGCCACCACCTCTGCCTGTTTGGTTCTTCAGAGAACAGAAAGCACAGCTTTGAGCAAGGATGAAAAGAGGATGCAAAACCAATTCTGCTGAGAGGGTGAAGGGGGTTCGTTTGCACGGGGTTTTATAGATGGTTCCACGATGACACAAGAGTCAGCCATTAGGCCATCACCCTTGTGGCCTTTCCACAAAACCCACAGTCCTGCTGCTGTCAGCCTCAGGGAGACTTGCGTGCTGTACACATCAACTGTTTGAAAGTTCGGTGCAGTAAATACATGAGCTTTATAGATGTGAACAGCAAAAAATAATAAATAATAAAAGGCAGAGGCACAGAAAGTGGAAGCTGAATAATCTAGACTTCTTATTTTTCCTTTCCCATGGCTTCCAGAGTAGAGAACAGTCTTAAGGTCTTTGTAGTTATTTTAGAATATAGGGGAGCCATGAGTCATGAGTCTTGTTTCTTTGCACACTGATGGCCAATTTTCTTTCATCTTGGCTACTTTTATTTTGCCCTTTGCAGAGTTGAAACCAGACCCTTACACATGCTAGGCAGGTGTTCCACCACTGAGGTACATCCCCAGCCTTCCCATTACATGCTTTGAAAAGACTCTGGTACATTTTTAAAAGCTGATTATACACTGGCACATGTGCACAAACACAAACGAGGGACTCTTTCTTGCCTCTATTTTTTTCCTTTGATTTATAAACTTAACTTATACCTTAGTGTTATGGTAGCTATAGCTTTACAGTAATTTAAAAAATTTCTTTGTCTTTATTTTATGTGTGTGAGTGTTTTGCCTGCCTGTATGTAAGCATACCATGTGCATGCCATGCCTGCAGAGGCCAGGAGAGGGCGTTGGATTTCCTGGAACTGGAGTTATGGATGGTTGTTAGCTGCCATGTGGGTGCTAGGAACCGAACCCAGGTCCTCTGCAAGAGCAGCCAGTGCTCTTAACCTCTGAGGCATCTCTCCAGCCCAAGTTTTAAAAATTTTGTTTTCTGGGGCTGGAGAGATGGCTCAGTGGTTAAGAACACTGGTTGTTCTTGCAGAAGACCCGGGTTTGAATCCCAGCACCCACATGACAGCTAACAACTGTCTGTAACTCTAGTCCCAGGGGATCCGACAGCCTCTTCTGACCTCCATGGGCATTGCACAACACGGGTGCACTTACCTACATGCAGGCAATAGACGCATACACATAAAAAAATTGTTTTCTTGAAACAGGATGTGGCTCTGCATCCACCCCTGGTTCTGAACTCATGATGCTGATGCTGGTCTTCTGCCTCAGCCTTCCAAGGGCTGGGTTTCAAGTGTGAACCCCCGTTTTATAAGTAAGTGTTATGCTTAGGAAGTGTGAATCCTCCAATATTTCTATTGGCTTAAAAATATATAAATAAGTTTACAGTTGAGGCTGGAGAGATGGCTCAGTGGTTAAGAATACCAGCTACTCTCGCAGAGAACCTGAGTTCAGTTCCCAGCACCCACATGGCAGCTAACAACCATCTATAACTCCAATTCCAGGGGATTTAACGCCCTTTTGACCTCCATGGGTATTGCACACACAGGTGCACTTACATACATGCAGACAAAGCATTCATACACCTAAAATAAAGTAAATAAAATACAGTTTACAATCATCTCAAAAATGTCTTCAAAAAGCCTTGGGATTGCATTAATCTATGGACTAAATTGAGAAGAATGGAATCTTAATAACACTGAGTTTCCTGATCTATGAACATATTATATCTCTGTTTAGGTTTGATTTTTTCATCAGTTTCATAGGCACAAAAACTGGATTTTTAAAAATAATTTCATGATCTTAGTAGCATTTTTAATAGCATTGCAATTGAATCTATTTCAGTTTCTAGCCATTTGGGAATATAATGATTTTTGCATGCAGACCTTACAGTCTCTGATCTGACTACTCTGATTTGTTAGCTCCAGAATCTTTCTGTGGAGTCTTTTGATTTAATATATAGAAAGTCACGTCCTATAAACCTAAGAGCTTTTCCTTATTTCCTTGTTACTACAAACGAGCTGTGAGAAGAGACATGTTGGAGCTTCCTGACTTTAAGTTCAGTCGTGCAACTTCTGTATTCTAATGGGTTTCCTGTATGTATTTTTTTGAATACCAACGAAGAAAATTTAAGATGTCCAAATATAATGTTTTGTCTCTTAATACTTTAAAATATTTATTTGTTTAATTTTTGCCATGTATTTAAGGCTCTTCTATAGGTGCAGACACTTTCAGATGATCATGTGTTCTTGGTAAATGAACACACCATTACACAATGCTCATCTTTATCTTTGACAGGATCCCTACTGTATAGACCACAGATCTGCATTATGTTGATGTCTGTCCAGTTTTTTCTTTCTTAGTGTTTCCATGGTGTTTCTTTTCCCATCTCCTACTGTCAGTGTCTATGTTGTGGTAAGCAGAATTCTAAGTTGCTCCCTAAGATTCTCAGCTACTATGATCATGCTCTGGCTGTTTCTCTCCCCCTGAGTGTGGGAAGACCTCCCCTCTCCCTAAATGTGGGAAGACCTTCCATATCATTGATGCCACTTCTACCACTGAGTTGGTGGCAGAACTGAAGGACTGCAAATGTAATTAAGGCCCCTAAATCAATTAGCTAAGAGTTAATAAAAAGTGAGATTATTCTTGACCAGATAGGACTTAACATATATAACAGAATACCTGAAATCTGGTTGGGGGTGGGCTGTGGAGGGTGAGGAGGGGGGTCTAAATTTGATTATGATGTATTATATGAAATGCACAAAAACTCAATAAAAAAAAATAAAGATATGTCCTGTATCTGCCTCTTTCCTTTTATTCTACTGTGGCGAAACACCTGACAGAAACAACTTACAATAGGAGAGATCTGTTCTGACTCAGGGTTTCAGAGGCTCTCATGCAGTGTTCATAGTGGCAGGAGCATGCAGCAGAGGCTCCTTCTTCCCAATGAAGCAGAGAGGCCAGAGTTAAGACAGGCTCTGGTCTGTTTCTGCCATTTAGACCCACCTTCTAAAGGCTGCACAATATACCTAGGTATATAACTGCATGCTATAAGCCACAAAGGGCTTTTAAAAATCATAATACTTATTTATTTTTAAAATCACACTTCTGCTTACCAGCAGGACAGGAACAGATCTCCCATGAATGGACAGACTCACACTGAGGGACATCTGGGGACACAAATTGGACTCAATAGGCCTTAATATGAATGGCAAAATGCATGAAATCTGGCAGTGGGCTATGGGGTGGGTGCAGATTGGAGAAGGGATATAGATGTGATTATGATGTATTATATGAAATGCACAAAAACTCAATAAAAAAAAATAAAGATATGTCCTGTATCTGCCTCTTTCCTTTTATTCTACTGTGGCGAAACACCTGACAGAAACAACTTACAATAGGAGAGATCTGTTCTGACTCAGGGTTTCAGAGGCTCTCATGCAGTGTTCATAGTGGCAGGAGCATGCAGCAGAGGCTCCTTCTTCCCAATGAAGCAGAGAGGCCAGAGTTAAGACAGGCTCTGGTCTGTTTCTGCCATTTAGACCCACCTTCTAAAGGCTTCACAATATACCTAGGTATATAACTGCATGCTATAAGCCACAAAAGGCTTTAAAAAATCATAATACTTATTTATTTTTAAAATCACACTTCTGCTTACCAGCAGGACAGGAACAGATACAAGGCCAAGCCCTGGAGGGGCTATGTGGATGAGTATGTTAAAAACAATGACAATAGGTGAAAGAATGACTGGACATTAGTCCTGATGCAGTCCTTGCCCTGTGGTAGCACAGGCTTCAGAGCAAGCACCCCTGGACCAACATACTCAGAAATCTCCTTCCCTCACCGTCACCAGAATGACTCCCCTTCCTGCTGTCCCTCAGGTCATGGAGAGTGCTTCCCAGGCTCAATACCCTGCAAGGATTCAGAGCTGCTAAAGGTGCTAAAGGCCAGAATTAAGAGTAGAGTTTTCTCCAGCCGTGCTTTGCAGAGCTCAATACATTGCAGCAGTCACATGGGCCTCAAGCTACCTGACCACCACACATTCTACCCCATGAAGGACCTAGAGTCTCCCCCAAGCTGGGCATGGCATCATGTTCATGCACATAGACACCCTCTTTCCTAAGGTGAGGACGGTAGGATTTAAAGCACCTGTACTCATCTTCCTCCTTTTCCCCATGATAGCTGCCCATTTCCACACCCACATGTGCTAACTAGAGATTGGGTGATTCAAACACAAGAGTGACTTAAAGCATTCTTACCACACTCAAAAGTCAAAATAAGAAAATCATATTGTTTGCTTTGAACAACTGATCGTATCTGATTTCCTAGTGATATGGTACTCAAGAACTGGGTTGTTCCTACAAAACCTGATGTTACAGCAACGTCAGCCTGTGCTCAGTGTGTGCAGCTATAACTCTGACCTCTTCATCACCAGAGAAGAGCTTGATGCATACATATCCATAATATGTTGCAGTACATATAAGTTGGTTGGAAATATGACTACCACACGTTAACTTCTGAGCATTCTGCTTTGTTTTGGGAAGAAGGGAGCTATAATACTTGCTAGAAAGTTGGAAACTGTTTTAGTTAATTTGGTAGTAAATCATCCTAGTAATAAAGAGACGTGTCAGAAGTGCACCTTTAGCACATGCAGCCCTGACATCTCTTTCACTGGTAATCATACAGGTCTATGAGGGAAGGGAAGGAGCACAGTTGCTTGTGTGTAAGAACTAGAAAATCATGGAGTGTCAATCTAAGATAAAAGAAAACCCTCTCTGTGCCGTGAACTTGTCTCCACCACAAGCCACCAGGTGCATTTCACTATTTTTTGCAAGATAGGAATGACCCACAGATCATAGAGATAATGAAAAGACCTTCAGGAAGCTTTTTTGCTAGACAAATTTATTTTTAAAACTCTGTATATATAGAATTAAAAGTTGAGACCAAACAGTTTTGAGCCTTAGTAGAGGTCGTATTTCGTGTCCCTTGTCACTAACGGTCTGAGAGTAAAGCACAGGGTTCTTTCGGAATAAAATCGTCACTCCATCCCACACTCTTCTGAGTTCTAAGCCTTCAGTGTTTTTCTTTCCAAGTCTTTGCATCTTCTAAGCGCTGTCATTTAGATCGCCCACTGCGTCGGGAGCCTTTCTCAAGAACAGCAGGTAGAGCAGGAGGGCTACACTCAGGAAGGCAGCCATGCCCCGTCTCCAGCCCATCCTCAAGGGCTTCCGCCACTCCCACAACCTCAACAGCAGCCTGACGCCCAGGCACCTCTGTTCGCGCGCCACCAACTTCTCTGCCACCCTTCGGAGCCGCTCCTCGGGGTCTGCGCTCTGCAGGGCCCGCGCCAGCTCATACACCTCGTTGGTGTAGTGCGCACCCCGGTGCTCCCTCACCAGGCGCACCACCAAGCCCAGCAGCTGCTCCACCTGCTCCTGCTCCGCCCCGGTGGCGCGGTTGTCCAGGCCACACACGCGGCCCCCGCACTCGGCCACCAGCTCCCGCAGCGCCTGGTTCTCCGTGTAGCGCACGTAATCCTGCAGAGAGTCGTCGCCCAGGTCCTCCTTCCGCGTGAAGACCACGATGGTTCGCGCCATCACGTCGTCCCCGAACATCTGCTTCACCCTGCGGAGCGCCTCGTGGTCCTGGGCGGTGTAGCGGCCCAGCTGGGTGACCAGGAGCAGCGCGTGCGGCCCGGGCGCCGACAGCAGGTAGCAGCGGGCTCTCTCCAAGCACCCGGGGTCCATCTGGTGGGTGTTGGAGCCGAAGATGTCTGGGGTGTCCACGACTTCCACCTGCCACTGGGCCCATCGCCGTCTGGAGGCGGAGCAGGCTGTGGTGACCGACTTGGCCCCCAGCATGGAGAAGAAGCGCCGCTGGCCCAGGATGCTGTTGCCCGTGGCGCTCTTGCCAGCTCCTGTCCTCCCGACAAGGACCAGCCTCAGCTGGGGCTCCTGCTGGGTCCGCGCATCATCCTCGGAACCTGAGGGCAAAATATTGAGCATGCGTCAGCGAAAGTATCTTTCCTGAGGGTTCTGTCCTGTTCTCACCTTCAGCACAGAGGGAAGAACAGACTCTCCAGTGCCCTCGGTGTAAGCCAGATTTTCCCTTCTGCTTTGGGGTCTCTGAGCCCTAGGCTCCTCCCATCTTTCCCTTTTGCGTTTGGATGGTTCCCTGCGCCTGCAGATGCTCCATCTGATGCAGAGCGTTTCAGAGCTGCTCCTTTATAACTTCTGTGGGTAACACGGCGTCTGGTCCCACGCACAGACCTATCTATAGTTTATTTGACTCTACCGCCCCCCCCCGCCCCGTGCCGCTGCTCCCACTCCAGATGCCAGCCATAGGGTTTGGTGGAGCCGTAGATAGCTCTTCAGTTCCAGATAGTGGGGGTAGATCGCAGCCCACCACGTGCTCCTTGTGTAACCTCGAGGAAGTGCTCAGTCTAAGTGATACATTTCTTCTGCAAAAGTGGGGATTTTGTGGGGTTGTTGAGGTTAGGCAGGAGCTCTTCTTCCCTTCCTTGTCTCTCTGCTACCTGTCTTAACCCTACTTCCTAAAAAGAATAGGGGCGCTAGCTTTCTAACAGGGACAACCTAGCAAGTGATGTGCACTATAGTAAGGGATTTGCATCCCTTTTGTGGAGACCAGAGTAGGTTTAAGGTCCTCATTTCATGCTGTGGGAACCCAGTGACAGACTTCTCAGACCTCTGAGCTCCTCCCAGCAGAACCCAGGACCAAGACAAATGCCCGTCCCATACCAGGCACTTCCCTCTGCTCTGTCCTGAGTAAGCCCCACCCCCTCTTTCCCCAAACTCAAACACAAAATCCAGAATGCTTTGCAGAGGTCTCTTACCATAGGTGCTTTCCTCATCCCTGGCCATCTTCCGTCCTCCCATGCTTCCTGGAAGACTCTGGGACACGATTTCTTCATGTATTTATTCCTGAAAATGAACACATCCACCCACAACGGCAGACAAACTTAAAGACGGGAGGCACCACGCTGACAAAGCCTGGCTCTGGGCGCAAGGAGTTGAATGCCAAGGTGTGCGCTTTGGAGGAGGGGTAGTTGTCTAGACAACAGGGCAGGTGCATTTTGTCTGTTATAGTAAGTTGTGCTAACCCTTCTTAGGGATAACACCTGGATTTTAAAGAATAACATCAGAAGAGGGCCAGCAAGATGGCTGCACCGCTTGTCTGAGAACCTGAATTTGCTCCCCTGAATCCATGTTAAGGGTGAATGGAGAGAAACAGCTCCACTAAGTTGTCCTCTGAGCTGTGCACATCACAGTATATATGCATCCCAGGTCTCTCTCTCTCTCTCTCTCTCTCTCTCTCTCACACACACACACACACACACACAATAAATGAATAAACAAATAAATGGCAAAGAAGACTGACTGAGCAGTGTGAGTTATAACCTTGCTGTGAGAACACTGGATGTGCCTGGATTTGCTCATCAGTGGCTTCAGTTGTAAGAAGTGAAGGGAGGCCTGTACCAGTGTACTCCTTGTAAGGGGCTTTAATGTAAAAATTTCCCTGGAGGATCATAAGTCAGGGACATACACAGCAGATGGATAGCTTTGCCAGGGAATTCAACGGGCAGGAGAGACTTAGGTAAACCCTAAGAACTGGAACTTTTGCTCAGTGACCCACTCTAGGGAAACAAGTCAGAAGGAAACTGGAATCTTTTTGGAAACTAGAAAATATATGCACCGCTAAACCTTTCTTGAGTTCTGGTCTCTCCTCTCTTCAAGGGAAGCTCCTGGCTTCTTTTTGTCTTTGCTGAATATGTAAACTGAATGTTTTCTAAACTGTATTTTGGCCCTGGACACAGATCCAGCATAGATTTCTCCTACTACATTAAAGAAGTATGGGAAGAGACAAGTTTTGTTCACCAAGAATGTGTGCGTTCAAGGAAGATGCTCCTAACACTCCCTCTGAAGTTGCTCAGTTGGAAACTCAGACCATCCTTAAACACCTGAAAGCCCGCCTTGATTGTGCTGCATGGCACACACCTGCACAGTGCCCTGTAAACTGTAGATGTGCAGGCAGAAAATGCTCCCCAGAAACCATGACCTGGTCTTATGATCCCTCTGGTCTTATGATCCCTCACCCCCATACCCCAGCTCACAGGCTCAGGCTCACCTTTCCTGACGACAGACTCTGAAGTGGCCCAGAGCAGGTTGCTCCTGCTTTCCCTTTGGTTGTGACTGCGGAAATCTCTTTGCTACAGGGCATAGAACAGAGGAAGTCACTGAGCGGCTAAGGTCTTAGAGCTCAGGAAGCTCAGAGAGGCCGGATGATGATGACTTAAAGAGACAGAAACATTTTCCATTTAGCTGTGGTTCTGCAACATTTCTCTTACCAAATCACTTGTCTTCTCTGTGACTAAGGGTGTATGTGTCCAGCAAGGTCAATGGCGTGAAATATCTTGCCATAGTCAAGGAAGGAAGGGTGTTATAAGACCTGAGTTCTGACTGCATTTCTAGAACTGGTTGCTGCTAATCTTCAATTGTTTTTGCTCTCTAAGGATTTCTCTCCCTATAAAACAGGGAGTCTCTTTCCCAGAACAAAGAACAGGGCAATTGTTTTCAACAGATGTTTAGTGGCTGGATATTCTTGTGGCCAGTGCCACCTTTGGGCCCAGTCTGCCAGAAAAATCATCCCCAGAAAGAATATCTTCCAGAAGTAACATTTTACCATTCTCTAAATAAAGAAGGCTTTCTTGCCACTGAAGCGTCTGTGGGTGGATGGGACTCCTGGGAATGGACACATTTCCCTGTTCTCATGTTGCCCTATGGGGGACCTAGTTGGCTCAGCTGTGCTGCTATTGCTAATGCTGTTCCCTTTCCCCACAGGAGCACCATGAGGCCAAGAGAGTAACTAGGTGTTGTATAGAGATAAGACTACCATGTGACTGACTCGAGACCTACTTAGTTCATTGAACAGCTGAGAGACACAGCACATAGCCTGATAAAAAGGGGCAAAACATTTCAACAGATGCTTCATAGGAGAATATAAATGAATCACCAAGAAGCTCATGTACACAATCCCCAAATGGGGGAGGGTCTCCCCAAGGATGTTTCTTCTTGGCACAGCCTCTCCATTCTTTTCTTTGTAACACCCGACATAGAAGGAGGTTTTCCCCTGCATCCTACACCATCTAGCAGTGTGACCACGGCCTTCCAGTGAGTATAGGACAGAGGTGAGGAGAAGGAAATGGGCCACAGCTGAAGTGAAGGAGTAGAGCTTACTATGAGCTACTGAATTTACAGAAACTCATCATATTCTTGTGGTTTAAAGCAATTCTGGGAACTGGTTCAAGCCAAAGTATTAGACCACAGACATCTTGCAGACATATTAAGATGTAGTTGGCAACTGTCTTGCAGTTTCTTGCACAGGGCTTACATATGAAGCAGTTTTGATTAATAGAACATTCTGTGGTGATGGAAATGTTCCCAAGCTTCATGTGGCTGGAGCGATAGAGAGATTGCACCATGCATTTTATTTCATTTTAGTTTGTGTGATTAAATATTGGATCCATGTGGCTGCTGGCAGCTACCATTGAACAGTTGTGGTTATCTGTACTGGGGACTGAACTCATGAACACACAGGAGGCAAGCACTCTAGAACTGAGCTATATCTCTGACCCGCTTTTTACTTTTTATTTTGAGGCAGGGTCTCACTAAATTGCCCAGGCTGGCCTTGAAATCACTCTGTAGCTGAGATAGGCCTTGAACTTTCTATCTTCCTGTCTCACTCTCTGCAAGTAGCTAATATTACAGGCTGGCATCACAGGGCTTGAGCAATATATATAGTTTTTAATAAGGTGAAAACTTATTTCATTTTTATTTTATGTACACTGTTGCAGGAAACAATGTACATAAAATAAAAATGATAAATAAAATACTTAAAAAAAGTTACAGCATCTCCTCGTAGACTGGCTTAGTCTGCTGTCCTTCTGGGCACGTTTTGACTCATTATCCTTCGGAGTGATGAAGAATTCAGAGGATATTTAACTCCAACATATCCAAAATGATCTGAAATCTCATGATTTGAAAATTTGCTATAAATTATTTACAAACAATTTTACCTAAAATCTATGATTTGAAGTGAAATTTTCATTGATGTAAAAACACAATTCTCACTTCAAGGGGGGAGGCGAAGAGAGCTTATTCTGAAACTAAATATAAGTGACCATGGCCTGGGAACACAGATTCAGGTTATCCCAAATTCTATATTCCAGTGTAGTAGCTGTTTCACGAAGTTTTTATGGTAACGGCACAAAGAGAGTCATAAACCAAGGCACTTTTCAAATCTGTTGGTGGAAATGTTGAGTGGGGGTCACAGCAAAGTGGAGAATCTCAGCTCAGATGCTGTCTGATAACACTCAGGTTTTTGTTTGGTGGAAACTAATACATCACAAAAGGTTTTTTATCTGTTGGTCACAGGATGTTAGGTCAGACACAGAGACGGACAAGAAATAGCTATTTAGGGAGTTAAAGATGACCTAAGATTAATAGTAATTAGGCTCTGGGTCAGCAACACTTGCTAAACCCCCCCCCCCCCCCCGATGCCAAGCAGCAAATTTTTTGTGATGTGAGGGCCAAACTATTTTTTTTAAATTT